TAATCGCTTCTTACAATAGGCATGCCTTATTTCGGGAATATTCTGACCCTTATCTCGCAGGGGTAAAAACGAAGTGCTGTTGTGAAAAATTGCGTGATATGAAATGTCAACTTACAATACACAAAGTATGTTTCCATATTCGGTGATTTTCTAATGCAACAAATCCAAAACTGGAAGTACTGTGAAAACTTTCTATTGAGTCTTTCTATATCCATGTCTTCAATTTTAAGTTTAAAGAAATCAGTAATTATTAATTAGATCTGTTGTGACATAAACTGCGGCTATTGATGCATCAAGTGTATTTTAGATCAAGATCGCAGACTTTGTTCGGTGCGATGACACTAAAATGTGTACCGTAAACTACAAGGGGTTGTAGTCACAAGGCATCTGTAATTAAGAGTTTTTCAATCTCCAGAATTTATTCCGTTAAAACTACTAAAGACTATTTTATAAAAGTAATACTAGATTTCAATAGAGTTCAATTTATATAGATATTGAGAACCTGCAAATAATTTTGTTGTTCATGTAAATGAACTATTAAACTGCTCTATGTTTTTGGAATTAATAGAAGCCTTCTCAAATTCTATCAACGCAAGTATGGGTCAGGTTCTAAGACTGAATTATATAGTTCATCTTAATAACTAAAACTTAGGGTGTATTTAGTTGACCAATGTTAATATATGCTGCTTTGTCATTCAATGAAAGCATAAATATAATTGAAACTATAGTACATTATATATGGAACTCCCTGATTTATTTGAAGGAATTATCTCTATAAATTCATATTTTTTCAAATATATTAGTTAATTATAAATATACAAACCTTTCTATATAACATTTTGGGCTTTACTAGTTCTGGTTACTTAAATATTTAGTTCGAATTGTTACATCAAGTTCAATATAATTTATAAATCTGACAAATCTTTATATGTTTCCGAAGAAAATTATATAAAAATGGAACAATCCATTATTAACAAAAATATGAGAAGACTAAACAGTTTTATAAGGTTTCTAAATCATATTATAATTGTGTCTAAGTTCATAATTTCATTCATTGAGATAAAAATTCAAGCTCCTATATTCCACGTTAAAATTGTCATTATTATAAAAACTTTGAAAAATTTTTTTTAACATTTAGACATTATTTAGACATATTACAATTTTATAAAGTAAGTAGTTTTATTAACATCTACAATAGTACTAAAAACTTGCACAAATTTATTAACTTTCTGATCTTATAGATTTTCTACTCCAACCCTCTTTAAATGAGTCAAAATACTTTCTCTGCTTGTCTTAGTTTTTCTAGTAATCTTTTTTACCTTCGATGTAGTTATGTATTTGTTAGATAAATTTAATTAATATATCTTTAAATATTTAATTTTCTGTAATTATTTACATCCCATAATAGTATATATGTTATAAAATGATATTATTATAATCTTTTGGTTTAATTGTTGTCTTTAAATATGTCCTTAAATATATTATGTATATCACTAAAAGCATAACTAAATAATTTAATTTAAAGTTGTTGTGTTTACTAATAAAAATACTATAAATGTTAAATATCTTCACTATTACTAACCTCTTATACATGATGTATGTATACCTAAGATATTGTTTAATAAGCCATAATTGATATGATTGTTAATACATCCGATCAAAGATTATATGTTGTCCTACCATTGCTGTTTATTTGTTGTAAGTTGTTGTGCTTACTGAGTGAATATGTGCAATGCTGTACATTGCTCAACAAAATTAATGAATTTTGTATGAAATATTCAAATAAATATGTTTTTAATATCTTTTCGTTTCATTTCGCTCAACAAAAAAATATTTTGATGCAACTACTATACTTGATATAAAAAAAAAATAATTTCAAAAAAAAAAAAAATAAAAATTGTTGTGATAAATCCGGCATATAACTACAAAACGGCTAAACAAATGAAAACTATTTTTAAAACATTTAATTTTTAATTAAATTAATTATCTAATAAAACATCTCCAAACAACTGTATTCTCATGGCTAATTTGGCGGTATAAAAATTACACTATACACATTAAAATATAATAAAATTTTGAATTCGTTCATGAAAACAAATAAAATCCAAAACATTTAATCAACAAAAACATAATTAACACTAAAATTATTCAAAACAATTAAATGCGCTACATGTACAACAAATTAACATTTGCAACAATAAAACAATAAAATAACAAACATAATTATTATACGTATCATATATCATTAACAAACGATTTATATGCATAAATACATACATAAATACATACATACATACATATACATGTATACATAACATATTAGAAAAGCGTGAAAGTCGCAATAGATCAATTAAAAATTGGCATCGTTTAACCCACGCGCTACGGCGGTCACCCACAGGGCACAACCTATCTCAGACGGATGGGAATAGCACGGAAGGTGAATCAACCAGTGGTGGACGTAACCCAGCTACAACTGGCACTGGATGTTATAAAAACTATGATCATGTAGCCAATATGAGGAACTCAAATATGTCACATGTGAGTCCATCAAATTTAAAATCCATGTTGTTCAGCAATATCCTTGTAACTGACGTAATTAATGTAATTTGCATAAAATAACTAACATTCATATTTCTTATACATATTTTTAAGCAAATGTAAACCAAGAGATTTTAGTCAAAATTATTTTAATATTTTTTATATACTTTTGTTTCCATAATCATAAATTACTCTGCACATATAGCATCGCACGTCAGTACCTGATCCAGATGCAGTACCGCCCTATTCAGTGGATAATCAAGCGAATGCACGACAAACTTCTATGATGGCCATGGAAAGTTATAAACGTGAGCAACAAGCATTACTGTGGCAACAACAGCAACAGCAGCAGCAGCAGCAACAACAACAACAACAAACTCAAACTATTGGAAATAACATTTCCACATCAGCTGGCGCTATATTAACCGACGATGGATTACAGACGAGCGATGCGGTCGCAACAGTACCAACCTCAATGCCTGTACAAATGATGATTACACCAGGGGTAAGTGTAAATATTATAAGTAAATTAATTATAATTTTTGGAAATTTTAATCACTTGTACCAAATTAAGATTCTTCTAAAGTAAATGTTTTGTTTTTGTACGTATACATAACCATTTTTATTCTTTACGATCACTGTTGTGTGTTAATTCTCGCAATTCGCTCATCCATAGTCGACATCCAATTTTATTGTAAACTATCTGGTGCTTTTCTAAACTTAAAAGTAAAATAATTTACTATTTGCAAGGGATTATAATAATTTGTTATAATTTATTTCTTTTTTGGACTATAATTTTCTATATTTTTTAATATTTACTGTGTTCATTTATTTAGGGTAATAACAAATCTTGCTGCAAAGATTAAATTTAATTTTATTCTATTTTCATATTCTTGGTAGAATATGTATATAACACATTACATAGGATGTATTACTTTGAATCAGCTCCTTTAGTACTCAGTTTATGTTAATGTTTGATTGGCGCCTTTGTCTTCCAAAGGTACTTGAGTTAAATTATGTTCCACATTACAATATTTATACATCAGACTGACGGGTGACCAAAGAAGGCAACAAATCCAAAGTAATCACGACAAGGACAATATTTAAAAGGTAGAAATTCCTCATTTAATTAAAAGGGAAATAGCTGGCTAATCTATAAATAAGTCCGAAGCTTTAAATATGTCCAAAGAAGAATAGTTGTGGCAGGTCAATAAGAAAGTCGATTCTAAATATTTAAACTCATTTATTGACTTAAAATGGGCATTGAAACATAAACGGATGCTAAGTTGCACCACCCACTGTATGGTGTATAAAGTAATGTTCGTCCGATACTAGTAAGATCGAGGAGGAAATCTTAACACGTACCTATCCAGTAGAAAATGTGGCACTATTTCTATTTCGGGAAAACATCTTTTTCACAATTAACTTTTAGTAAAATTAACTATTTTCAACAACTTTTTCCACAACGCTACGTAGTGACGTATTCTTACCACATAGTTGTTTGTTAGAAGTTTTACTCTAACTGGTACCGGTGGGTATCAGTGTGTCTATACATGACTTACTCTCAACCAGATTAAGGAGAGAGTGTGTCTATACATGTATTTATGGCGTATTAGCAATAATTTTTATATTAAGGAATCAATCTGATATAAAAGATCATATTTTTGAGCATAACAATGCGATCGATCAGTAATTTGTGATAGTTTTCATATTAATATTTCTTCAATATAATATAATATAATAATATATATAATATTTACAATGACGAAATTCCATATATGTATTTTCTATCTGAAATTCTGTTTATTAATTAAAGCATGGTATATGGGTACATAGTTTGTTGGTTAAAGCATCACGCACTGCTTTTCTTCAGTCATCCTGTAAAGTGACCTAAATATTGCTCTTCTTGACTAAAACTCGCAAATTATTCATTGTGACTCATATCTATGCTCTACGGAATTGAAGCATTGTTGTTAATAGCACATTTCAAAGTCGATGGTGAATGATAAAAATTTTTCAACAGTTTTTTGGAAATATGACCAAAATTAAGAGAACTTAATTTCAAAAAGTTTGAACTTCAAAAGCCGTAACCAAAACAAACAAACCAAAAACAAGTAATGTGTTTTATACAATATATGGAAGTTTATGAGATTAATTATCAATTGGATATTTTTTCTTGAGATTCTTGATCATTACGAATCACAGAAAAGCTGAGATTTAGTTAAGACTTTTATATACTACAAAACTTCTGAATTAATCCTTTAATTTTCTCCTAATTATCGTTTATGCGTTTATATTATACATTCATTCTATTTTACTAAGCATAGTGGAGTCGTCTGATTCAGTTTACGTTAGGTTAGGTTATACCGGCGATCCCTAGTGAATCCTCTTAGGCCTATTGGTCCAATGTATTATCGTACATATAAGAAAAATTCAGGGTTTAAAACCACCTAAAATCTTTTACGAATCCTAAAATACTATTTAGTGTCAGATCATGTAATTTGCCAAGATCCTGACTCAGTTTAGTATATATAAATTATATGCAACCTTTTGAGATTTTCTCGAGATAATATTAAAAATGGAAATTTTTAATATTTTTTTTCGAGATTTTTAATATTATTTTCTTAAATTTGATTATAATGAATTGACAAAAATTATCATCCTTCAAACGTGGAAATTTAAGGTTCTACTCTGAAAGACGTCAGTAGAACAACTTAAATGGATGTTTAAGCTTAATCTGACTTAAAACATACTTTATTTGTATTTTAATACGAAATTACTCAGAATTTCTCACTTTAATAATGAACACAGTAGTTTGAGTTATCTATGATTTTTTAATAATATAAGTTCCTGTTTTTATTTTTATTTCAGTTCAAGTTTTTAATATTTAATTGCGACTTGTAATTTTTTGAATTTAATTTCATTCATGAAATCATTTTTCACGTAATTTTATGACTTTCGTAATTAGTTTGGAATATTGTAAAGTATGTTATGTTAGTGTGTTGTTCATTTTAATTTCTTTTACTTTAAGTTTAAAAATTATAGTAAAACTCACGTTGAAATTAATATACAAAAACCTTAGTCATATTAAAGAAATACTTTTGTGTTAATAGTCTTAAGCTCTAAAATATTCTTTTGTAATATAACACTTTTCAAACTTTAGTCCTTACGGGGAAGGAGTAAGGAGGTATAAATATAAAAGTCATGAAACTTTATCAACTTAATTATATTATTTATGCATAAAGCCTACAAGTTTTTATAATTTTTTTTTATTTATTTATTTCTGTCTTGAATTTCAAAGGCTGAGTTTTTTCCATAGAATTTTTGTATGTGTTTTTCATTAATTTGGAATTAAGTTCAAAAATAACTCAAATAGAGAATGCTGTAATTCAAAGCGAAATTTGGTTTTAAATTTTTTATTCTATTTATTTGTAATTCTAAACACAGATCTGTGTTTATATTTTTTTTTTAGTATAATATTATTTTTACGCTCTGTTCGGGAAATCGTTATTTTATATTTAAGCCGGATTTTGGTATTAAATTGTAATCAATTACTATAATTATATATTTTTTACTATACTCTGATTAAGACATTAAGATATTAATAAACCGGAACCATCTAATTTATATCATAAAATAATTAGTACTGTCTTCGTTGACAGTATTTACTTTTAAAAAAATTACGAGCGACTCATATTTTTGATTTATTAATTTTCGTGGAACTGAAAGTTATTTATAAACAGAATAGGAATTTTCTTTACTCCGATAACTTTGCTTATTCTAAACATAAACTTTATCATCATATATCAGCTTTTCAAACAATTTCAGTTCAATTTGAAGATGCAGATATCAGTACATTTTTAGATTGACATTTTTAGATAACATCACTTATAATTGTTTGATTCCAGTTAGCAGATATTGCTTTAAAATAAACGTTTGAACCAATAAACTGTAACTGATACCACAACTGATACTGATACTGATAACTATACAATATAATCTATACAACAATGAGAATCCACTTCAAAAACAAAATTCGCAATGTTCTAATCATAAGTACTGGATACAATAACCGATAACTGATATGTCATTAACGATAGTTTAAATCAGAACATAAATATCAACAATGTATAATATGAAAGCTGTTTTCGTGGTAATAAGTGCGTTTTAATGCACACACATTCGATCCATTCCAGGAACCCCGACGACGAACAAAGTTATGATAAACAAGACTTGATGTATGTTTAGGTACAACTGATGGTTCCTTTTCGTTCAGGAAAACAATAAACTTATGTTATAAATATAAAAATAAAGAATCAAGATATAAATACTCCACAAATGCATACCCAAATAAATAAAGATAATAATGTGATGTATGAGAAAATCCATGTTCCTTATTTTCATACAGACTTGGATTCACATTCGATCTGCA